ATACCAAAGCTATAAGATTACAACCATGGCATAAATGTGAACCTTTCCTTTCAAAATGCATGGCTGCAGCAACCATTAGTTGCAAGCATCAACTGCTGATTACAAGCTAACTTCACCACGCAATTGACCCAATGAGTATAAGAAATAGGGGCATTTACAAACATACCACATTATTCTCATGCATTTACATATCTTTTACATATCTAACACCCAATACACCCAATCTTTAATATTTAGATGCATAGCACTCAAATCTTTAACATCACAACAACAAAAAATCCCTATGACCCACTTTCGAAAAGTTACATACACATCTTCATGCTTATAAATGTAAATATGAAAGTTTATGTGTTAAATATATAGATATAAAGGAATTGTGTGGTATGTATGCAAATTTCCCTAAGATTAATAGATCTAATTACAGATTTATTCTAGATACAAATTGATTGTTCGATCTAATTACAGATTTATTCTAGAACTAAATTGATTGTTCCTGTACATCAATCAATCTCTTATTTACAATCACAAAGGCCACAACTCCAGGAGAAGGAGAAAAAATAGCTATTGCCATTAATTACTGGAGATGGAAGCTTCTGATTAAATGCCTTCATTCTCACAGATATCACAGCATATGGTTGATGAACCTACAGGAGATAAATAACTCCCAAATGAACACATAAACAGTTCACTGATGATCCTGCATTACAAGGTCATCGGATAAAGCAATGATATTAGCACCTTCCAAACTAACCCAATTTCTTAACTTCTATAAATCCCATGTAACATTGCTACAACAATCTTTCACAACAAAATTCACCTCAAAAGGACCCATATATGAATTAGCCAAAGGAGCTTTCCCTAACCGATTATCATACCAAAAGCTACAGCTCCCATTACTTACATCCCAACGGAAAAACTCCTCATTAACTCTAGCAATTTTAAGCATTGCCAGCATCCTTTATACCAAGAAAAACAACTAATGTCCTGTTTTGTAAGAAGTGAACATTACATTATACCACCCAAATTATTCGCAGAACATCAAAAACACCATCATTTTAACCTCTAAAGAAAGTGAAATACACTTGGAATGTATGTAAAAATTAAGGTATAGGTGGTAGATATGTAAAATACAAAGGAAAAGAGAGTTGTGTATGTAAATCTTGCTATTACAACTGCAATAACAATTGTAGCACCCAACAGCATTATCATCAACATTATTTTCCTAAACAGCAGCAGAGAAGAGCAAATTCCATAGAATTACTTCCAGATTTAAAAGTATTTGTTTGTATATATGCTTCAACTCTCATGTATATATGTATAGAATTACATATATATAT